AAAAAATGGATTTTTATGGACAGTTGACTAGGGTAAACTGTCCAGTAGATGGACGCCTAATAAAACCGCCCAGTAGATGGACGTTTGTTTTTTAGCAATTGAAAAAAAAATTGATCGAAAAAAAATCGTCATTCAGGGGTTAAGAATCACAACAGTTAGTGAAAATTCAAAGCAACAATTCACATTTCATCACATCACATTTTTCACATCTATAGGGCAGTGTCCATCTACTGGGTAGCTTACTCTACTAATTTTCAGGGCAGTGACACTGAAGGCGATTTGGGGGAAAAAGTCATGAAATTTCAGGTTTCACTGAAAATTAAGTAAATTTCCAGAATTTTAAGCATCACAAAGACGAGAATGGAACTTCAATCCCAAGAAAATCTTTAATTAATGCGATCTTAATGAACCTGATACTCTTTATTATTTGAAAAGATATTTGATGGGGTTATTCGTCGGTTCACTGTAAGAAAATTACTCTTGAAATTTCAAGTAAAAAATCTTGAAATTGTTAACAACAAATAATTTACATGGAATTTCCATTAATCTTGTTATTGATAGATCAGTCAATTTGAATATTCAATGAAATTTGATTTCTCAGGTTCGCACGATAAAAAAAAATTACTCAAAATCGTAGAAATTCAGGAAACTTTTCTGAATACGATTTATTCACGAAAAAATCAAAATTGTCATTGAAAATTCAATGAGCATTCATCATAAAAAACTTAATTTTATTGAACTTCCCAGGTGAATCAGGAATTCCATGAGCAATTTAGTCTGAAATTTAATTCAAGTTCCGAATACTGAAAATTTAAATGCATCTGTTACATAAATTTCAAAAAAATGCTAACAGTGTAGGGCCGTAAAGAGCGCAGTTTTACAGTTGCTAAAAATATATATATCAAGAATACGAATGAATCGAGTTAACTTAATCTAGTCCTGAAGACGAAAAAGGCGGAAAGAAAATAAAATAAAACAGTGTAGTATAAATTAATCTAGCTACGGGCGCGAAGTGCCCGTTCAGTAGTTTCCAAAATAATCAAATGATTAATCAAGTACTTTCTGTCTGATCTCAGTTGATGAAATAAATTAATTTAAAAAAATGCAAAGCCAAAATGAATTCCAACAAACAAGTGATTAAAATAAATAAATTTTCAAGATAATCCCCAAAATAATCAATTGACTGACTAACTCCTTCTGTTTGATCTCAGTTGAGGAAATAAATTAATTTAAAAAATGTATATAACTTCACTGGGAGGACCCCACGGCATATGCAATAAACTTCAATAAATAAAAAACAAAATATTCGTAGAAATACGTGGGTTTATTTTTAAAACATGTACTTCATCTCCAGAGTGGCATAGATATCTCCATTTGTTGCATTGAAAAAACAACAAAAATCAACGAATTTACAGAAAAAATACTGACAATTATAAAACAGAATAATTTACTTCAATTAATTACTTTTTATTTCTAATTTTAATTGAACCCTGTAACCAAAATTCATACTTCCCTGTAATTTCCGTCGCTCTCGTCAAATTTTCCGAGTAAATGTCACCACCCCCATCCATTCATCAACTTTTCAATAAACTCATTATCAATATTCAAAAGCAAAAATTAATTCAAACATAAACAACTCATTAAAATGAATAACTTTTGAAGATAATTTCCAAAATAATCAACTGACTAATTAATTCCTTTTTGTTTGATCTCAGTTGATGAAATAAATTAATTGAAAAAAATGCAAAGCCAAAGTTAATTCAAACATAAACAAGAGATTAAAATAATTTTTTTTTAAATAATCCCGAAAATAATCAATTGACTAATTAACTTCTTTCCTTTTTGTCTCAGTTGATGGAATAAATTCGTTTACAAAATGCATATAACTTCACTGAGATGACCTGACGGGATATGCAATCAATGAAAAACATTAAAATATTCGTAGAAATACGTGGGTTTATTTTTAAAACATGTACATCATCTCCTGTGTGGCATTTTAGATATCTCCATTTGTTGCATTGAATTAACAAAAAAAAATTTGATGAACTAATAGAAGAACAGGTGGGTGAGTTCAGTGGACAATCCATTCGATGTGACAATAATAATGACAATGGCCTCTTTTGTAATTATACTCGATAGTCATTATATTTACAATTTTTGCAGCAATTTCGGGAACTCCGCAGGCTAAAATCAGTCTCAGATTCTTTTGATTATTAAATACTCAATTTGATTATCAATTTATATGATTTTAATGACTGAATAACCCCAGAATTCACCAAACTGCCTCAATTCATCTATTCATTACGCCTAATATAGTTATCAGTTTGCTTTAAGATTCCATTTATTTATATATTTATATTCTATATATATTTTATTTATAATATTTATATAACTCTTCGTAACATACAATAGTAATGTACATTATACACGTTACGCTGTGCGACTATCTACATTTTTCATTTTTATCATACAAAAAAACATTTGGACGTCGCCGGTGGCGACATTGGGAGCATCATCCTCACTCACTATCTTATGATTTATAATTTAATGATAAACGAAACGTTCATTCTCATTCTGTGGGTATTTTCCTTTCTCACGAATAATTATCACAATTTTCGCTTTTAATTTTTTTTTATATTTTAAAACATCTATTTACGACCGCAAGTCTTAGAGCACCGATTTATTGCTCACATTAAAATGATAATTATCTCTCGCTGTCGAGAGTAAAAATTTCGGACGGAAAGCAAAGATTTTTCACGGTTACAAATGACAATGATTCAAACGTGAAGCGGAAATTAGCGAAAGATTTGATTTAGACTCGTGATTTTCTGACTCTTGAACCCTCAAAAATCCCCTTTTCGCTGTCAAATATTCAAATATTCCGCTAGTTTCAGCTGCGGGGTTCAAACAAAATGCTCAAGTACAAAGGAATAATTCAGAATTCATTCAGACGTTAGTGCGTCAGAGAAAAAAGAGCACTGATAAGGTGAATTGCTCATGACTGCTATCTCCAACAATCTCTGAATCTGATATGAGATATCAGGATGACGAGTGTTGGCCGAAAATTTATGAAACTCGTGCCTAGAAGATTCTCTTGAATATTCAAATAAATATCGTTGCGGATAAATTCAATATAATCACAGAAAATTGATGTAAAATTACGTCCACCGAAATATCGTACTCCCGAGTGATACTTGACAGGTCGAGACATTAATGCACTTTGTTAATCGAGAACAATAGTGACTTTGCGAAATGTTTAAAATCCATTATGTTATCACACAGGAAGAAAAACAGATCAAAGATGACAAATCTTACCATTGAAAAGACAAGAATTTCACTCAAAAACAAACAACAGTGACAAGAAGATGAACTTTTCATTCGATGGAATTGATCTTCGCAACGGCTTGAAGACTACTGATACAAATTAGATGATTTGTGTTTAATTTTGTGTGAAATATCCTTTTCTTTTCAATGATACCTTGACTTCAACTCAAGAAACCTTTCCTCTGTTACATTTTAAAAATTCATTCCACAAATCGCTAATCATTCCGTCAACCGTCTAGACGCGTTGAGAGTAAGATTGATGATCTTGTTTATCAATATTGTTAATATCCCATTGAAAAGTCAGGAATTTCACCCGAAAAAGGAAAAAAGATGGTCTCTTTTGCCCCAGAAGTCTCCAAGGTATACTAAAAAAATTCTCCATTTGATGGAATTGATCTTTGCGAAAGCTTAAAGACTACTGCGACAAATTAGATGATTTGTGTTTAATTTGGTGTGGAATATCCTTTTCTTTTCAATGATACCTTCCTTCAACTCAAGAAACTTTTCCTCTGTTACATATTAAAAATCCATTCTACTAATCACCAATCATTCCGTCAACCGTCTAGACTCGTTGAGAGTAAGATTCATGATCTTGTTAATCAGTTTTGTTAGTATTCCATTGAAAAGTCAGGAATTTCACCCGAAAAAGGAAAAAGGATGTGGCTGTTTTGCCCTAGAAGTATCCAAGATACACTAAAAAAATTCTCCATTTGATGGAATTGATCTTTGCGAAAGCTTAAAGACTACTGGGACAAATCAGATAATTTGTGTAAAATATCCTTGCATTTTCACTGACATCTTGCAGATTTGAACTTAAGAAACTTTCCCTCTGTTATATCTTTAAAATTCATCCCCTCTAGACGCGTTGAGAGCAAGATCTATGATCTTGTTCATCAGTTTTGTTAATATTAAGAAAAATAATGATTTCGTGAATTAACTTTGTGGAAAAGCAAGTCAAAGATGACAAATACCTCATTGAAAAGCCAGGAATTTCACTCAAAAAAGAAAAAAGGATGATTTGTTTTGCCCCAAAAGTCTCCAAGACACACTAGAAAAACTCTTCATTTGATGGAATTGATCTTCGCAAAAGCTTGAAGACTGCCGAAACAAATCACATAATTTGTATTTAATTTTGTATGAAACATCCTTGTATTTTCAATGCGAAGAACCTTTTCCAAAGATTCATAATCTTCACCAGTTTTCTTAATTAGGAACTATAGTGACTTCGCCAAATGACTGTGTGAAAAACAAATAAAAAATGACAAATATCCCATTGAAAAGCCAGGAATTTCCCGCGAAAAAGAAAAAAGATGATCTGCTTTACCCCAGAAGTCCCCAGGTAAAGAAGAAAAACTCTTCATTTGATGGAACTGATCTTCGCAAAAGCTTGAAGACTACCGAGCCAAATCCTCTGATTTGTATTTAATTTTGTGTGAAATATCCTTGCCTTTTCAACGACACCTTGCTTTCAACTCAAGAACCTTTCCCTCCCTTACATCTTAAAAATTCATTCCACTAATCACCAATCATCCCGCCAACCGCCTAGACGCGTTGCGAGTAAGATCCATGATCCTGGTCATCATCATCCTCGTCGTCAGGGTCCTCGACACCAGCGATAACATGCCAGCTGACCGGTTGATGATCATTACGAACAAGTACATTAGACCTCGATCTGTCATCCTCATTGATGCTTGCGGCCTGATGTGCCGCAGCCGCGGTAACTCAGGCAAGAGCATACGGATGAGTGGCGTGATGTCACAAGCCAGCAGCCGACGCCGGTGGAGGTGGCGGTACACTGCTGGAGCTCGTCACACTGGTTGAATAATGATGAAGTGGACTTTGGTAATAATCCTGATGATGATTCGTCATGTTGTGCATTGTTCCCGGATTCCCCCCGGAATGCATTCCATTGTGATGATGATGATTTGGACCAGCCGAATGAGGATGAGGATGATGAGGCGAACCGTAGTTTGCGTAGCTCTGATGAAGCTCGTACATTTTGAGATCCGGGTGTTTTCTGTCTTGTGCACCTGGCGATGTGGCCGCCGTCTCCCCAGGTAATAGCCTCGTGATGCTAAAAGGATGGCTTTGCGCGGTGTAAGGTGGCTCCTGCTTCAGACTCCCCGCCATGCCATGATGAAGGGCTGCGGGATCCGTCAACAAATGTGGATGAAGACTGCGACCAACCATAGCCGCAAGCTCATCGTGTGCAGCTCCCAGATCAGGCCCAAGTAGCCCACCAATATCCGTTGTATCGCTCTTCAACCCGTGATGCTGATGAAGCCCCGTCGCATGATGGTGATGAGAAGACACGAGGGAATGCAGATCTTTGTCGTCAGGCTGTTGAACACTGTGATGCAGCGACGGTGTCTTCTTCCCATGGCCAAGATCATGAGAGTTGGGACTTGTGTGACCAGCACCATGATGCCCCGAGTGTGGATTCTGGGTCTTAGTTGATTGCCTCTGATGCTCCTTCTTCTCGTCCTTGAATCTCTTCTGGCGACGGAGGTAGCACCCATTCTCGAACATATTTCCGCTTTCTGGGTGGAGGGTCCAGAAGGATCCTTTGCCAGGCTTGTCTGGGGTCCTCGGTACCTTCACGAAACAGTCGTTGAAGCTCAACGAGTGTCTTATAGAGTTCTGCCAGCGTTGCTGATTCGTTCTGTAGAACGGAAACAGATCCATGATGAATTGGTAGATCTCCGACAGTGTCAGCATCTTCGTCGGTGCATTCTGTATCGCCATTGTGATCAGACTTATGTAGGAATATGGTGGCTTGGCGTGGGTGTAATTCCGTCTGTAAGATTTGTCGTTCCTAGCTCTTTGCAGCGCCGAATTCGGGGAATCTGGCTCGGTAAGTGATAGAGGATCACTTCTGACTCCACCAGCACCACCCGCTGTTATCGAAGGATACCCGACGGCACTCATACAGGCGCTTCCACCCGCCATCGCTGAACTTCCGTAACCACCCATACCACCACCGCCCATTCCTGCCATTCCCATTGAACTCATGGTCCCCATATTGAAACCAGCCTGAAGGCTTGAACTCTGGGGACTACAACTGGGCCCAACACCAACACCCATGGACATACCCATGGACACACAACCCATTGAATTTATAGAACTGTATGTCGGCGCCATACTTCCCATACTCGACATCGCTGCTGATGTCATAGCACCGCCGAGGCTGCCAGCCTCGCTGTACAGCTTCTGCGACTGGAGCATTGTCATTTATAACAGTCAGATTATTTCACTAGCTTCCCAAATTGTTTCACTTCGTCAAAATGACATCTGTTCAATAGACAAATCCACTTGGATTCAACATCACTTGCACCAATCAACATTCATTTTGCACTCTTCGAGTTCCAATCAATCTGATTCTCACAGTCTGCCAATACCTCTCACTGAATCACTTTGTTTCAAAGTCTGAAAAATTGTTGAAGTAAACTAAAAAAAAAATTCACAAAAAACACACAAATGTCCTTTTCGCGGATACAGTTTCACTGGTAAACTCCGAAAACAATGCGTTGATGTCACAGGCGCAACCAGTACTCGATGACGCTGTACCCGATAGGGGTAATTGTTGTCCCAACAACAACTATATAACACACGTAAGGGTACCGCAGTTGTTATTTGCGGCTGTTTGTGAGGCGTGCGCCCCTTTTCTCACTCACTCACTCTGTGTAGTGTGGATGGAGGCCGGTTAGCGAGTGTACTCCGGTACTCTTGAGCCACCGAGTCTTGTTCAAACAATCCCCACCACTTCTGCAACCGAACGTCGGTTGCGAAGCGGAGAAACCGCCCTGTGCGCCACTCGCGGCCAATCGAGGGCCATCGGTTCCCTGTTCCGAGCGGTTTCTACGAATCAGGGGAGCAAGCGGGCGGAGCCAGGGGGCACGTCGGGCACCTACGCTCGGTCCACACGCCCTTAATGCACCCTCAAAAGGTACATCTGTTTTCCAAGGATCGACTGTCTCTCTTGCTCACGCGTTATTAGGTTAAAGCTTGCGTTTTCGGGGGTGCGCGCGCAACTGGGGGAATCCCCCAACACGCCTTGCGCGCCAAAAACCCTACGGTCCGCTTGCGTAATTTCGCCACCGTTTTACCCGACGTCTTCAACGTCATGTCAACTGACACCGCGTGTGAACCATCGCGAAAATTCAAAAAATTGCAATATTGCCGGGAAATTGTGGTTATCCGTGAGTGAAACTATTGCGAATTCTTATCGAAACAAAAATGACGAAACATTGGTTGAATTATGGGGGCGGCTTGGAGCAAAATGAAGAGAGAACAAGTGAAGTTAGAATCTAAAGACGAAAGTATTCCGCTTGTACTTTCGCGAGAAGCGGACGCGCAACAGTATTTTTTTAAAGATTTAGACGCATGATTCCGCTGATTTCGGCCGACGGAGAGGTTTTGGGGCACGTGATTATGACGAGGAATGAGGAAAATGGAGATAAGGAGCAAGGTGAGTGTGATGTACTCGATACTGAGGCTTAATTGTTCGTCATTCTCCCGGGAATGCGGCGGAATTAGACTGGCGTCGGGTCGCATGCTCGAATAGAGGAAATGTGATTTTTTTTTAACGTCTGGGGATTTTATTTGCGGGATAAAGACACTTACGAGTGAGTTTATCCTCTCAATTATCTAGAGTTGGCACAAATTTGAAAATAGGGCGGGCGGGCAGGGCTACCTGCAATTTATGACAGGGATTATTCCACAAATTCGTAATGGCCATTTTCGAATATCAATCTTGCGGTTTTCGGGTGTAAACACAATGGATAATCCTCTTGTTTTTTTTTCAACATCTCATCAGTGCAAATCCGCCGGGGAGACAATGAGGTGCGGGCACATTTGGTTGGGAATTTCGGGAGATACCTGACGAGTTTTATTTCAATTTTTTTTCCGTCGGTTATCGATGGGTACGAGAGTAATTGAACCGAGGTACTAGGCGCCTGATGGACATGACGCCATAAAACCGAGAAGCCCGGAAATGAATGTCTGACGAGCCGCTGAATTAGCACCAACCCCACATCCATGAAAGAGAATTAACAACCCTGGAGGTTTGTACTCCCCTCCAGCGGGCGCTCAAAAAGGGAAATAGGAGTAGCGGATGATTTTTAGATCGGCCGCGGAAAGAACAACTATTGAAAAGTCGTAACTGGGATTATCCAGGGGGTATCGGGCGGAGGTTTTATTTCAGTGTTTTTCACTACTTTTTTTATATGGAGAGAAATATCTATTCAATATTACTCCCTTTGAAGAAAATTTTTCGATGAATTTTTCCTGACGGAAACGAAATTTTGTGGATAAGTTGCATATGGAGAGGGAAGTTGGATAATAATTTTATAGACAAAAATAAAGATAAAAATTTACCTAGAAAGTCGTGGTAAATTTTATTGTACGACACTGCAGGGATGGGCAATAATATTGGATTTTGACAATATTAAAAAGGCGTTATCTCCTTATATTGTTCAAAGTTTAACTATATTTAACAAATTTAAAATATAAAATTTATTCACTAAATTTTCCGATTGATGGTGAAAAAAATATTCGATAATATTGAAATGCAATTTTTTAGTTAAGAAACTAATTCTAAATTTAGGTACTGGATTTTCGACCATCCAAATAATCGTCAATCTTCCTACCTAAATTATTGGTTGATAGAATATTTCGAAATTTAAATGTACAAATTGATGGTTACTTTAATATTTAAAATTTTTAAGATTTATGGGAAAAATTGACAACTTCACAATTTAACGGTCATTATGATTAATTGATATGCCTACACGGAGAGAAATTTTTGATAAAAATTATCCTAACGTTCTATAAAAGTGTATCCTGAGTCATCGTTTCCTCATTTCTATCCCGAAATTTAGTAGAAATCAATATATGATGATCAAATTTTATTCTACATTAGAGAAATTTTATCCTGATACATAATAAATTTTACCCGTCCAATAATTTTTATGTAAATAACAAGGAAAATTCTAGAACGGTTCCCAGGTAGGAATTGACGATAGAAACAGGACTCATCAAGCCCTGGAGCAAGGCTTGGAAATGCTCAACCAAGGCTGAAGCTCAGCCTTGGATCAGCCCTCCTTCAGCCGCAAAATGATAACCTCGTTTCAGACTTAGTCCATAAGGCTTGAACAATGCTTGGCGCCAAGGCTTGGTCCAAGCCTTGAATTACAAAATTTTAAAGGCTCTTCTTTTGAATAAATCATATTAATGTTTACGGTTGTGTTCAAATAATTCTTATTGCTTGATAACCCCTTTTATGAATCCAAAGCAACTTATGAAAAAGACTGACGGGACTATGTACAGTTTTCCTCGAGTAAATTTTTTTTTTAATTTCTGCATTTCTGGGGCAAGTGTAATTTGTTGCTAAAGTTCAGGATTAAAACTCAAAACTGTTTCAATTCACTTGAACTCTTGTAGAAAATAAAATGACTCTACTAGAAAATGCAACAAGTATTATTTTTTTCAGTTGATACTAACAATATTGGCATAATATCTGTAAAAAAATTTCATAATAGCAAAGTTTTTACAAGAATAATTGCATCTTTTATTAAAATTCAGGATTAAATCTCAAAACTGTTTCAATTCCCTTGAACTCTAGCAGAAAATAAGATTTTTTAAAAATTTTATTGTTAGAAAATAAGATTACTCTACCAAAAAATTCAATAAATATTATTGCAATTAACACTAACAAAAATTACACAATTTCTGTAAAAGTTGTCCTCAAAGTACTTGAATTTTTATTAAAATCATTGCATTTTGTACTAAAATTCAGAATTAAAACTCAAAACTCTTTCAATTCCCTTGAACTCTATCAGAGAATAAAATTACTCTACTAAAAAATGCAATAAATATTATTATAACACTCAACACTACCAAAAATTACATAATTTGTGTGCAATTTTTCCTCGAAGTACTTGATTTTTTATTACAATAATTGCATTGTCTACTAAATTTCGGGGATAACTTCTCACAGATTTTTCGACATACGTCCCTCTTCCTCTTCACCCTTTCATTGTTCCTCTCTGTCATGTTTTGTTGCTTCCACGGGAGTCCAAACTGTTTGCAGAATTCGAGTATATTTTTTAAGCAAACAGAGACAGTTGTGTTTATACATCATCTTAGATCGATTGAATTTATTATTTGAAATCTGATTGGTTTATTTTCTTACGATCGTTACTCGATAGCCCGACGATTAAACGACGATTTATTGTTTACCGAAGATTGTCGGTTATCTCCCGTGAATCTGAGGTTTTGACAATTCGATTTGAGGTGTGAGAGTGTTTATTTTTGAGTGGTCTGCGATAATGAATGGGACAGGTTGATTTGTCCTACAATATTTTAATGAGGTTCTTCATTGGTGAATGCTTATTAAGTAGGTTGGATGATATATGTCGTGCGGGGAGATGTTTTTCTGAGTACAAAAAGTCTTTGTCATTTTTATGAGAATGAGGGAGTGGAACGGGGAGCCTTTGGAAAACTCTTTTATGTACCTGGTGGAGACCCCGACGTGGGTGGGCCGGACCACTTCGTGTACATTAACACCGGTGATAACTACGCACACACTCGGCTATGAAGAGGTTTCTATTTTTATTAGTCTCGGGCTGACGTGTTTTTTCGATTTTCTTTGATGTTTCGGACGATGGCGGAGTGATATTCTCACGTCATCTTGCGAATTTTCTCGCCAGAAACAAAAAAATTCGGCTCGACGCGCTGATTTATCACCTCATTTAGTTGATGAAAAAAAAAAAATTGATTCATAATAAAGATGAACGATGAGTGAAAAATTAATCAGTAATTTTTGAAATTTTTTTTCAACGAAAAAAAAGACATTTTTAAAGAAATTGTCCACAATTTTCTTGAATTATCCTGAAAATCTGAGAATTCTCGAGAAAACTGAATAATTTTCTGAATTTTTTTAGACTGAAAAATAACACATTTTTCTAGAATTTAGAAGCTCAAGTGGAAAATTGCTTTCATCACAACATAGTCAATATATTTTTGCTAACAATAAATTATCAATTTGTTACCGAATGGAATTTTTATGACAATGTATTTTAAATTGAATTCAGTGAATCTGGCGGCCAACATTACCCCAACATTGCGCCAACGTTAGTAGATAACATTGCCCCAACATTGCCACAACAGTCAATATATTTTTTCTCTCAAATTAGCAATTTGCTACCGAATGGAATTTCTAAGACAATATA